TGTCTATTTTTGTCCTGAGTTCATTTATCTCTTTATTAATGTGTTCTTTGTTTCACTTTGGTGTTTATACAGTGCTTCTATGGTTTCTTTTTATTTCTTCTTTGCTTTTTCAAATTCTCTATTTTTTTGTCTTGGAATTTCTTGAGTGTCTCCTGTACATTTTGGTTGACATATCCAGTATCATCTCTATAAATTCTCATTGATTACTTAGTATTTCTTCTTTTAGATTATTCTTGTGGGCTTCATTGGGTTCTTTGGCATAGTTTATCTTCATTTTGTTGGAGTCTGGATCTGAGTATCTTTTCTTCATTTCCCTCTGGTTCCTGTACTAATTTTTTGCTGTGGGGAAACTGGTTTCCCTGTTTTTCTGTCTTCCTCATTGCCCTTGGTGTTGTTATTGTCCCTGTACTGTGTGCAATTAAGTATTTTCTAGCTTGTAATAATAACAATGGTGATATTTAGAATGGAAGGGTGAGAGGAGATGGAAAGCAAAGAAGTTAAAGAAAAGGGAAAAAACAAACAAGTAGAAAAACAAAACAAAAAAACAAAAAAAGTTTCAAAGATAAACAGGGAGAGATAGTGTAATCAACAGTAAGCTGAACAGGCATTAGAGAGGCAGAGAGAGGATTGAAAAAAAAAGAAATAAATAAATGAAAAAAAAATAAAAAAAATCTCCAAGTTCAAATGCAATAAAGTTTCAGTCTTAATAATTTTGGTGTTAGTCCCTCAGCCTCCAATCCTGGAGATGGTGTCTCAGAATAGTTTGTTCGTTGTCTCATCAAAGGGGAAAAAAAAAAACAACACAAAACACAAAAAAAAAAACACCACAAAGTGTCCCAAGTTCAAATGCAATACAGTTTCAGTAAGTTTTTCAGCATGCAGGTGTAGTTCGGTTGTTGTCTCATCAAAGGGAAGAGAGGAAAAAAAAGAGTCTGGAGACAGTTCTGTGAATGGTATCTGAGGCTGTGGTTCACCTGCGCTGCTGTCAGCCTGCTGTTGCTGGAGGCTTTATTTATGCAGATCTCAGGGTGAGCTTAACACTCACTGGCCCTGCAGGCTTTGTTTACTTAGAGTTCTCCTGGGTGGCGAGCCACTGCTACAAGCTTTCCCCTTTCCAAGCACACTGGGGAGGTGACACTGCCCTGCCTTTCTCAGGCTTGTTTATTTACAGCTCATGGGAAGTGGGTTTCCCCCTCTCCTGTGGAGTTTTTCCTCCCACCCACTTTTTACAAGCTTTCCCACTCCTGTTGCTGGCATGTGCTGCACTCCTGCCTTCTCTGGCCAGCTTGTTTATTTTACAGTTCTGTGAGGGATTGCCCCTCCCCCTTTGGCTTCAGGGTGCCCTGCCCTCTTTGCTATGTGTCTTTTTGTTGTTATTGCTTATTATTCAGTTTTTTTTCTTTTTCCCTGGGTGGGGGTCGGTCTGTCCAGGGGCTATGCTGATCTGGCCCAGTGGTTGTCTGTGGGATACTGCATTGCTGATTAGCTCACCTTGTGGTCTGCATCTTCTCCAAGCCGTTCTGATTGCTGCTGTCTGGTGGTGGTGTAGGAGCCCTTCCTTTGGTTTCTCTGTTTCTAACGTGAGAGTGGAGATGCTTATGTGCAAGGCTGAGGTGTGGAGGAGTCAAAGTTTTTGCCTCTTCTCGGTGGTTTTTCCTGTAAGTGTATCTCCAGCGTCTTCAAGACTTTACTTTAGGAGGCACGCTTTCTGCTTCCTCCCTCTAGCCACCATCTTGGAATCCCTGCATGCAGGTTTAATTGCAAGATTTACCAGTCTGTTCTGGCCTTGGCTTCACATGTTGAGGAGCTCAACATAAGAAGGGAGGGAAACTGCCTAACTCATTCTAAGTGAAGCCAGGTTACACTCATCCCAAAACCAGACAAAGACACAACAAAAAAGAAAATTACAGGTCAATCTCTTCAATGTACAATGATGCCCAAAATCTCAATCAAAATTTTGGCAAACTGAATTCAACAACATATCAAAAAGATCATACACCATGATCAAGTCAGCTTCATCCCAGGGATGCAGGGATGGTTCAACAAATGCAAACTATTAAATGTAATGCCCATATTAACAAAGCAAAGACAAAAACCACATGGTCATCTCAATAGAAGCAGGAACAGCCTTCAATAAGCTTCCATGATAAAAGCTCTGATGAAACTAGGAACAGAGGATTGGTACTCAACATATAGGGTATATATGCAAGCTATAGGCCAACACCACCATATTAATGGGGAAAAACATGACACCATTTCCTCTAAAATCAGGAAGGAAATGAGGGTGTCTACTTTTTCCACTGTTATTCAACATAGTCTTGGAATTCATAGCCAGAGCAATAACACAGGAAGAAGAAATAAAAGGAATACAAATTGGGAAGGAAGCAGTCAAAATACTCCTATTTGTAAATGACATGACCTTATACCTAAAAGACCCAAAAAACTTCACTAAAAAAATCCTGGACACCATAAAAAGCTTTAGCAAAGTATCAGGATACAAAATCAATTTACAAAATCAGTAGCCTTTCTATAAACCAACTATGAACAGCTGAGAAAGAATATAGGAAAATAATTTCATTTATAGTAGCCTCAAAAAAAATAAAATACCTGGGAATAAAATAACAAGGTATGGGAAAACCTCTAGAAGGAAACTAACAAACCCACTGAAGAAGAAATCAAAGAAGACTACAGATGATGGAAAGATCTCCCATTCTTGTGGATTGAGAGAATCAACATAGTAAAAATAGCTATACTACCAAAAACAATCTACATGTTCAATGCTATTACCATCAAAATTCCAATGACATTCATCACAGAGATTGAAAAATCAACCCTATCAAGTTCATCTGGAAGGGCAGCCAAAGACCGACAAATAGCCCAGGCATACTGAACAAAAAGAGACAACTCTGGAGGTTTTCATCAGTAACCGCAACTTCAAACTTTTTACAGAGGGCATAGCATAAAAACAGCATGGTACTGGCACAAAACAGACATGAAGACCTGTGGAACAGAACAAAAGACCCATATATGAATCTATGCAGCTCTGCTCACCTGATTTTTGACAAAAGTGCCAAAAACCTATCATGGAGAAAAGACAGCCTCTTCAACAAATGTTGCTGGGAAAACTGAATATTTGCATGCAGAAAACTGAAACTAGATCCATGTCTTTCATCCTGTACAAGTATCAAATCAAAATGGATTAAGTACATTCATATGAGACCTGAATCTTTGAAGCTAGAGCAGGAAAGGGGTGGGAATACACTGGAATTAACAGGCATAGACAATGACTTCCTAAATAGAATTCCAATGGCTCAGCAGTTAAGAGAAAGGATGGACAAATGGGACTGTATGAAATTGAAAAGCTTCTGCACAACAAAAGAAATGGTCTACATTGAAGTGGTTGCCCGCAGAATGGGAGAAAATCTTTGCCAGTTATACATTTGACAAGGGCTCAATAACCAGAATAAACAGGGAATTCAAAAAGCTAAACTCCCAAAAAATTAATGACCCAATGAAGAAATGGGCAAATGAACTGAACAGAGATTTTTCAAAGGAAGAAGTCCAAATGGCCCCAAAAAAAGAAACATGAAAAAATGCTCAACATCCCTGGCCATAAAGGAAATGCAAATCAAAACCATTTAAGATTTCTACCTCACTCTTGTTAGAATCAAGAACACAAACAACAAATGTTGGCAAGGATATAGGTAGAAAGGACCACTCATACATTTCTGATGGGAATGTAAATGAGTATATCTACTATGAAATACCATCTGGAGGCTCTCAAAAACCAAAACAATCTGGCCATATGATCCAGCAATTCTAGCTCCTAGGGAATTACTGAAGGAATGTTTAATCAGGTTGCATAAAGGCACTTGCACACCCATGTTTATTGCAGCATTATTCACAGTAGTTAAGCTATGGAAATAGCCAAAATACTCCACTACTGATGAATGGATTAAGAAAATGTGGTATTTACATAAAATGGAATTTTATTCAGCCACAAAGAGGAATGAAATTTTGTCACTTGCAAGTAAGTGGATAGAACTGGAGAACATCTTAAGTGAAGTTAGTCAGGTTCAGAAAAAGCTGCATGCTTTCTCTCATATGTGGAATATTGACCTAACATAAATACAGCAATATTATGCAAAACAGGTAACACTAAAGGGAGGTCACATACAAGAGGGGGAGGGTAAAAGAAGGAAGTTAAGAAGGTGAATATGGTTGATGCACTCTCTATATAAAAATGAATACAGAATGTTTAAGCCTGTTGAAGCCAGAATAAAAGGGGGACCTAGGTAGAAAGGAGAAAAATATAGGAGATGAACCAATTCAGGCTACATTTTATATACATATATATATATATATATATATATATATATATATATATATGTATATGGAAATGTCAGAAGGATGCTCCCTGTATAGCTATCTTAAACAAACAAAAATGTCATTTTTTTTTCATTTACAAAAATCAGTGAACACATGAGTAGAACCAGTCCTGCTTGGGAGGTTGGTACTGGTGAGGGTGGGGAAAGTGGGGAAAGGGCATGGGAAGGTGAATATGGAGCAAATACTGTGTACACATGTATGTAAATGGAAAAATGAGACCTGTTGAAACTATTCCTGGAATGGTGGGAGGGGAGATGGATAATGGAGAATGATGGAGGGGGTGAATTCATGTATGATAAATTTGATACATTGTAAGAACATTTTAAGTGCCATAATGAGCCCCACCCAGCACAACAATTAAAGAAAAAGAAGAGAGAGCTTAGCTCTCTCCATGCTAACAAATGGAAGAGTTGTTAAGTGTGTTTTTCACACATGTTGTTTTTCAGGAGAAAGTTGCTTATTAAAGTAAATATATCAATTCCAAGATGGCGGCTAGAGGTAGGAAGCAGAAAGCGACCGCTCCTATAGTGAAATCTTGGAGGACAGGCTGGATGACCACACTTTGCAGGGCTAATCACTGAGAAAGGCATAACTTTGACGCCCTTTCACACCTCGCAGCGGCGCAGAGAATCTCCAGCTTCCGTTAAACGGAGAAAACGAGGAGGGCCCCCCGGGGCCCTGCCAGTGGCGGCGGCCCATTACGGGCTTGGGAGCCCGCGGACCAGGTGAAGTTGCTTCGCGTAACCAGCGGTTCCGCCAAGACAAGCCTGGCCAGAGCAGCATAGCCCCTGGACAGACTGACCTCCACCCGGGGAAAAAAGAGAAACTGAAGTACTAAGGCAATAAGAACAGTTAAGACCGCCTGGAAAGAAGGGTGGGGCGCCCTGAGCGCTGAAGATTGGGGGAAGGAATCCTTCCGGGACTGTAAATAAACGAGGCCGCGTTGGCCGGAGAGGCTCTGGCGGGAGGCGGGGTGCGCCGCACAGGAGCGGGGACGCTTGTGAGAGGAGGGAAGAACACAACTTCCCTACGTGAACTGTAAATAAAAACACGCAAGGCGTCTGACAACGGCGGGCAGTGGTCGCCTTTCCCAGTGCTTGGAAGGGAAAATGCCTGTGGGGCAGAGGCCCCCCTCCCCCGCACAGGAGAACTCTGAGCAAACTAAAGCCTGTGGGACAGGTGAAGATGGCTAAGCTCACTCCCAGAGATCTGGCATAAATAACGCCCGCCGAGCTACAGGCTGAGAGCAGCAGGCAGGCAAGCCACAGTTGCAGATACCATTCACGAACTGCTCCAGACGCTTTTTTTTTTTTTCTCGCCTACCTTTGATGAGAGAACAACCGAACCGAATTACCCTGCATGCCGAAAAACTTACTGAAACTGTATTGGCATTTGAACTTGGGACACTTTGGGGGTTTTTGTGTGTGTGAGTGTAGTTGTTCTACTTTATGCATCCCCTTTGATGAGACAACTACAGAACAACATCTGAGGCACCAACTCCAGGACTGGAGATTTGAGACGGACACCAAAATTATTAAGACTGAAACTTGCATGCATATAACTTGGAAGTTTTTTGGTTTTTTTTTTTTTTGTTTTTTTTTTTTTTAATTTTCTATTTTCATTTATTTTATTCATTTTTATTTTATTTTATTACTTATTTTATTTTTTTTATCTATTTTCAATCCTCTCTCTGTCCTCTAATGCTGTTCAGCTTACTGTCAATTAGTACACTAACACTCCCTGTTTATACCTTTGAAACTTCTTGTCTGATACCTTGTTTTTTCCTCCTCTGTCTGTTATTTGTTTTTCCCCTTTTTTTAACTTCTTGCTTTCCATCTCCTCACCTTTCCATTCTAATATTACCATTGTTATTATTACAAGCTAGAAAATACTTAATTAACACAGTACAGACAGTAACAACACCAAGGCAATGACAGGAAGACAGAAAAACAGGGAAACCAGTTCCCCACAGCAAAAAATTAGTACAGGAACCAGAGGGGAATGAAGAACAGATACTCAGATCCAGACTCACAAAATGAAGATAAACTATGCAAAGACCCAATGAAGCTACAAGAATAATTTAAAAGAAGACATACTACAAGTACTCAATGAGAATTTTATAGAGATGATACTGGATAGGTCAACCAAAATGTACAGGAGACACTCAAGAAATTCCAAGACAAAAAAATAGAGAATTTGAAAAAGCAAAAGAGAAATAAAGGAAACCATAGAAGCACTGTATAAACACCAAAGTGAAAAGAGAACACAATGAATAAATGATAAAATGAACTCAGGACAAAAATAGACAACATTAAAGAGGAAACAACCAGGATAGGAAAAACCTCAGAAAAAAGAACGAAAACAGAACTGCAAAACAAAACGGAAGGCCAATCCAGCAGAATAGAACAAAACAGAAGACAGAATCTCAGAACTTGAAGATGAAATGGTAATTAAAGGAAAAAACCAAAGAACTATTAATTAAACAACTCAAGACCTGTGAAAAGAAATGCAAGAACTCACTGACTCCATCAAAAGACCAAACTTGAGAATCATGGGCATCGAAGAAGGAGAAGAGGTGCAAGCGAAGGAATGCGTAATATATTCAACAAAATAATAAGGAAAATTTCCCAAATCTAGAGAAAGATATTCCCATACAGATGCAAGAGCCTCCAGACACCAAACAGACCAGATCAAAATAGAAACTACCCCAACACATATCATCATTAAAAAACAAGTTCAGAACTAAGGAAAGAATATTGAAGGCTGTAAGAGAGAAAAAACAAATAACATACAAAGGTAAACCCATCAAAATCACAGCAGACTTCTCAACAGAAACATTAAAAGCAAGAAGAGCGTGGGGTGAGATCTTCCGGGCACTGAATGAAAATAACTTCAACCCCAGGATACTCTACCAGCAAAACTATCATTCAAAATAGATGGAGCAATAAAAGTCTTCCATGATAAGCAGAACTAAAACAATATGTGACCACAAAGCCACCATACAAAAGATTCTTGCAAGGGATTCTGCACACAGAAAGTGAAACCCAACTTAACCATGAAAAGACAGCAGCACCAAACCACAGGAAAAGAAAAGCAAGACAGTAGAGAGTAACCTCAATAGGTACACACAATCAAACCTTCAAACAACTAAGACAACTAAATGACAGGAATCACCACATACCTATCAGTACTAAACTTAATGTTAATGGACTTAATTCACCCATCAAAAGGCACCGTTTGAAAAATGGATTAAAAAGGAAGATCCAACAATTTGTTGCTTACAGGAGACTCCATCTCACCGACAGAAATAAGCATAGCTTAGGATGAAAGGCTGGAAGAAGATTTACCAAGCCAATGGCCCCCGAAAACAGGCAGGAGTAGCAATACTTATCTCTGACAAAGTAGACTTCAAACCTACATTGATCAAACGAGATAAAGAAGGACATTCCATACTAATAAAAGGGAAATAGACCAAAAGGAATAATAATCATCAATCTGTATGCACCCAATGTCAACGCACCCAATTTCATCAAACATACCCTGAAAGACCTAAAAGCATATATAAACGCCAACACAGTGGTTGTGGGAGACTTTAACACCCATTATCATCAATAGATAGGTCATCCAAACAAAAAATCAATAAAGAAATCCAAGATCTAAAATATGCAATAGATCAAATGGACCTAGTAGATGTCTACAGAACATTTCATCCAACTCTACACAATATACATTCTTCTCAGCAGCCCATGGAAACCTTCTCCAAAATAGATCATATCCTAGGGCACAAAGCAAGCCTCAGCAAATATAAGAAAATAGAAATATACCATGCATACTATCTGATCACAATGCAGTAAAAGTAGAACTCAACAACAAAAGTAAAGACAAAAAACATGCAAACAGCTGGAAACTAAAACTCATTACTTAATGAGAAATGGATCATTGATGAAATAAAAGAGGAAATTAAAAAGTTCCTGAAGTCAATGAAAATGAAAACACAACCTACCGGAACCTATGGGACACAGCTAAGGCAGTCCTGAGAGGAAAGTTTATAGCCATGAGTGCATATATTAAAAAGACTGAAAGATCCCAAATCAATGACCTAATGATACATCTCAAATTCCTAGAAAAACAAGAACAAGCAAATCCCAAAACAAATAGAAGGAGAAAAATAATAAAAATAAGAGCTGAAATCAACGAAATAGAAACCAAAAAAACCCATACAAAGAATTAAAGAAACAAAAAGTTGGTTCTTTTGAAAAAAATAAACAAGATCGATAGACCCCTGGCAAACCTGACTAAAATGAGGACAGAAAAAAACAAAATTAGTAGAATTAGGAATGCAAAAGGGGAGATAACAACAAACACCATGGAAGTCCAGGAAATCATCAGAGACTACATTGAGAACCTATATTCAAATAAATTTGAAAATTTTAAAGAAATGGACAGATTTCTAGATACATATGATCATCCAAAAATGAACCAAGAGGAAATTAATCACCTGAATAGATCTATAACACAAAATGAAATTGAAGCAGCTATCAAGAGTCTCCCCAAAAAGAAAAGTCCAGGACCTGATGGATTCTCTGCTGAATTCTATCAGACCTTTAAAGAAGAACTGATACCAACCCTCCTTAAACTGTTCCACAAAATAGGAAGGGAAGGAAAACTGCCTAACACATTTTATGAAGCCATATTACATACTTTCCCAAAACCAGGCAAAGACACCTCCAAAAAGGAGAACTATAGGCCAATCTCCTTAATGAACATTGATGCAAAAATCCTCAACAAAATAATGGCAAACGAATTCAACAACACATCAAAAAGATTATCACCACGACCAAGTAGGCTTCATCCCAGGGATGCAGGGGTGGTTCAACATACGAAAATCAATAAACGTAATAAACCACATTAACAGAAGCAAAGACAAAAACCACTTGATCATCTCAATAGATGCAGAAAAAGCCTTTGATAAGATCCAACACATTTCATGATAAAAGCTCTAAGAAAACTAGGAATAGAAGGAAAGTTCCTCAACATTATAAAAGCATATATGACAAACCTACAGCCAGCATTATACTTAATGGAGAAAAACTGAAACCATTCCCTCTAAAATCAGGAACCAGACAAGGATGCCCACTATCTCCACTCCTATTCAACATAGTACTGGAATTCCTAGCCAGAGCAATTAGGCAAGAAGAAGGAATAAAAGGAATACAAATAGGTAAAGAAACTGTCAAAATATCCCTATTTGCAGATGACATGATCCTATACCTTAAAGACCCAAAAAAACTCTACTCAGAAGCTTCTAGACATCATCAATAGCTATAGCAAGGTAGCAGGATATAAAATCAACATAGAAAAATCATTAGCATTTCTATACACTAACAATGAGCAAACTGAAAAAGAATGTATGAAAACAATTCCATTTACAATAGCCTCAAAAAAATCAAATACCTAGGTGTAAACCTAACAAAAGATGTGAAAGACCTCTACAAGGAAAACTATAACTTCTGAAGAAAGAGATTGAGGAAGACTATAGAAAGTGGAGAGATCTCCCATGCTCATGGATTGGTAGAATCAACATAGTAAAAATGTCGATACTCCCAAAAGTAATCTACATGTTTAATGCAATTCCCATCAAAATTCCAATGACATTCATTAAAGAGATTGAAAAATCTACTGTAAATTTATATGGAAAC